TAATGACAAGATTGATTTTTGCTCATTTGTGTAAAATTAAGTTTTTAGATAATTTGATTTAATTTACTGCAGTTTATACAATTCTTGGTCATTTTTGCCACATTACCCTGCCCTGGTTATAAGTGTGACCACATAGAGTGATAGGGAGACAAATCATTTCCACAGCTCGGATATGTGCAGAAAGAAGTGTGGGGAAATTCCAAAATCTGTTAGTCATTTCTCAACAGTAATGGTTTGTGATGCAACAGTTGTTTTTATGGAAGTATGATACTCCGTGTTTATGAACTCTAAACTTTATACATTTTCTCCTCAGCAAAATGTGGCCAAAACAAAAAAGAAAGACTCTACCTCTGAGTTGTGTTACTATTATAACTTTCTCACCCATAACATCTATATTTAGACAGAGAAAACATGAAGCTCAGAGCCAATGCTTTTCTTTTTTCTACATCATTGGGTTTCCTGCTCTGACGTGCCCCAGTATGCCGCTGTGATTGGCTGCTGACTTTTTTACTTCCTCAAACACAGAGTGATCAGCTGACGGTGGAGTGCAGGAACAGAAAGTATAAAGTTTTCAGTTTTGACACTTTAATTTGTCTCCAAATGTTTGCATAACCCCTGCAAGAGAAAAGAGAGGAATGTGAGCAGGAAGTGGAGGAAACTGCTGGGATCTGGAAGTACTCAGGGTGGGTGGAAGAAGTCGTCTCTGAGCCACAACAAAGAGTGAAAATGGGCAGTGACTACCAACTACTGTCTACAGCTGGATCCTGCAGGAGTTTATCCATCGGTGAGTTTGACATCCTAAAGTGTCCTTTCACATCTCATGAGCGACATGCTGTTAGTTCTACTTTGACAATAGCCTCAGTAGTGGAAATGTTTTTCTCATCTGGACGTGCCTACTCTACCTTATCCAGATGTTGCTGTACCGGGGGCCTCTTGTCAACATCCTACACTCCCTCCTAGGAATTGTGAGGAATGCTACTGGGGCTAAAAAACTTCTACCTCCTAGAGTAGGACATGAGAGTTGTTTACAAAATCCTTCACTTATTTTCAGCTGTAAACCAGGAACACAAATGATGTATCGTAGTTAAAACAATGTAGTATTATGTGATTTATTGATCCTCCATGAAGGAAATTCCCGAGTTTTAAAACTACTAAAGATATAAATAAAGATAAAACAATATGCACACGGCCCACTGTTGTCAGAAGCAAAGGTTTGGGTGACACACACTGAAAGTGAAAGTGAGCGTAAGCTTATTTTGAATGTGTGCCCGTTAAAACTAAGCCTTTCAGCAACTGTTAACACTCAGTTACTTATTCGTTCACATTTTCATAATTGCAGAAAAGTTTGGGCTCCTTATGAAATCATTACTTGTGAGCCCTCCATTCACTCTCAAACTTTGTATACCTTAAAGGTACAGTGTGTAGAATTGAGTGATATCTAGTGTTGAAACTGCTCACCTCACCCTCTCCTTCTAAACATGAAAAAGAAACTGTGGTAGACTTTAATTGTCATAAAAACTCAAAAGGTGTTTAGTTTGTCCAGTCTGGACTAATGTAAAAAACATGACGACCTCCATAGAGAGGACCCCCTCTATGTAAATATAAAGTATTTAAATATAAAGGGTCTTTTTTTTTCTGGGGTAAAGAAAACTACAATTCATACAATTTAGATGAAAAGAACTAGTGAAAACATCATGAGGATTATTCCACATTAAATTTCTGCCAATAGATCCCTTTCACCTAAATCTTACACACTGGATCTTAAACCTAAAATTTTAGACTAAAAACAAAACAACCTCAACAAGACATACGATTTCAGTCTAACATGGTGTATTGACAAGAAAAAATGCATTATGTATTAATTCCAGAAATAATTGTTTGTCTGTCTGAATGTGAAACACATATCTCAAGAACCATTCATTTTATCAGCTCCAGCTTGCTCATTGTTAAGGGCACAAGGAAGTGCACTATCAAATTTGGTCAGCTGTGGCTGGGACTCATCAACGATGTGATGTTGTGAACGATGCGTTCACATCAATGGGTGTGTTCACGACAACAGAAACAACATCCTGATTCTCCAGTTAGGGGTTCTGTGTATTGAGTTGAGCTTCACTGAACTTTGAATAAACAGGACTCAGGGGCTGAGTCCTGCAGTCTGTCTTTTCTTACCACAACTCTATTTCTATTTGTCACTTTTACAGTTTCAGAAAGAAAACTGGAACCAGCATCACCACAGTTCAAGCAACCAGGCAGGTTTAGAACAGAGACTGCATAAAAAAGTAGCATGGCACAGGATAACACTACTAACACGTTTCTAGGGATCCAGGCCTTCTCCCAATGACAATAAAAAGCTGCTGAGCCTCTGCTCCATTAAAGATTGGTCATTTAATAAATTGCTCAATAACTAGCTTAAATCTCATAATGCTATTTACCAACAAGCAATTTGAGTAAACATTCTCACATTGAACAGCAAACATTACATGTGTCTTGAACACAACGTGGAGTACTGCATGCACACCACTGATGATGCATGTTGTTCTCCAGTGACCGGTCTCACTCACAGCGACACTGACCACTGATTGTACACATGGAGGTCACCCTGTGAAAACACTACGTCTTTGTAAAATCTTCTGTGGCTCTGGAGGGAGATTTCCGAGGTGATGGCCTGATGATGTAACTGTTGCGTTATATTGGGGTATTTGAGGCTTTACCCATACTTACGACTAAACTCAGATTACCTCATCCTCTGCTGCTTCGATTTGAGGCATACATTTTTTTTTTATCAGCCTCTCAAGTAAAGTGAATTACTAAACTGAGTGTGGCTTTAACTTGTAACAATATGAACATGTCTCTCAAATATCATGGAGGTGAGATTCAAAGATTCAACTCATCACCTCCACCAGTGGGTTGTTTTGATCTGTGTTTGTTTGTTAGCAGGATTATGCAGAAACTGACTGAACCAAATTCCATGAACTTTTGTTGAGGGGTGGGACATCTACAACAACAAAGCACCTTTAAATTCGGTGTGGATCCAGATCAGGGGCGAATCCAGGAATATTTTTTTATCACTTTCTTTAAATTGCAAGACTGGGCCTTTTTCAATATTTTTGTTGATTTCTAAAAGATCTTCAGAAAATCAGGCATGTGTAGAGGACTGATATTTATGAGTGTGTGACACTTGGTGCAGATCCAAATAAAATCTGTAACTAGTGAATTTAAATGTGGTTTCATGGGGGGACTGTTGGGCCTTGGTGGAGGTATGTGCTCAATCTTGTTTCTTATTTAGTTGTAGTCGCTATAAACCCATATCATGTCAGTTTCAAAGTGTGTTTTCTTTGTGTTCAGTCACGTGAGGTGAATCCACAGAGGAATTATTACTCTACTGCTTAATTCCTTTCATAACATAAAAGAACGGTTGTGCATTAAGACAGAAGAAAAGTTGGACATGTGTTTTGCACGTCAGTACCAGGCACATGTGTTTAATTTACAGAGCTGTTGGTCCTTATCATCTCTGTAATCTCATTTAGTGACTTGGATTGTGTTATGAAGAGAAAAACAAAAGGTGAATTCTCATTGGTCAGCAGAACACTAATCCCTGCTTCCATCTAGAGGTGCTCGAGCCCTGCGCTTGGAAGTCGACTGTGGTGTTAGCTTACCATTCTCCCAACCCCCATCCAACCCCACCCCCCATTGTAGCCAGATGGCTGTCACGCAGGCGGTTCCTCGCCCAGACCATGCTGATTTCCCATCATTCTTTTGTTAATGAGGTCGTTAGCAATGCAACAGACAATTAAATCATCCCAATCTGGCATTTTCCTCATTGTCTTACTGTATAGTGTACTTGTAGAGTGTCTCTAACTGGTCATGTGCCACTGCTCAGTGTGACCACTTCTGTTGTGACGATGGCTTCTGTACTTTTCTGTACCATTTTGTTCCTTATTATTCACGTCAGTGCTTTACTGCGCAGCAGTGAAAGTGAAAGCCAGTTCCACAAAGTCGAGTAGAGTAAACAGAGTTCTTGATGGAGCTGGTGTTGGTATTTTCCTCTGTGATAGCGGGAGATCAGTGTCGTCTCTAACTGACAAACTTTGTTTTAGTACATCATCAGCCTGTATGGAAACAACACAGGCCAGAGCTGCTGCTGCACAGAGGAAGTTTTGTTTGCTGTTAAATCGTGCACAGAGGGTGACTTCAGCCCGTTAGTCGAGCGCTCACCTTCATGTGAAACGCTGCCGAACACTGACACCGCTGACAGTTAATTATGGGAGTCGCAGATCATGCAGACTTGTCAGCTCGGCTGCGATTGACGCGCCGCATGTTTACATCTCTGTTGTAATGTTGTTCTCTAGTTATACTCACAGCAGCAGTGCATCCGTTATTTAGCTCCTGAAGTGCCTTGGGGCTTGCCATAATGACCGTAAAAGCAGCACAGATTTGGAGGAATGAAATGTTAAAAATGACTTGTGGGTATAATTGGTGAACATGCCATCACAGTAGCTTTGGAAATATTTTTCGGTCAGGCTGTTGATACAATCTGACAGCCTGTTAACTAGACCGTCATAGTCTATAGGTATGTCTCTACATGGCTTCATTATTTTCCTCAAACTCCTCTACACACATACACACACAAAGTTATATTGACAATGAGTGAAAACAAACTAAATCTGATATATTGTTAGACAGGCAGACGAAAAGGAAGCAAACATACATTTTGACACACACTAGTATTTGAGTCATTTCTATTTCTTGGCCAGGTGGTTGGTGTCGGTAACAGTCTGGTAAAGGAACTGGCAGCCAGATACCACACATATATCTAAGAATCCCTAATGATAAAATTCCCAATTCCACAAACTTTTTGCTGTCAGTCTGCATGCGGTCATATGTACGTCATTGCAACAACATTCATATAATCACCTACTGTTTGGCAATATGTCTCAGGGGTGAAAACTTGTTTCAGCTGCTTTATATCAAGCTGAATTAGAGCTTTGATTTTAAAAGCTGTGAACTTGGGTCTGAAGACTGTGTCAGTTGCTTAAGAGACCTCAGAAATAGCCCAAATCCAGTATATGAAGAAATAACACCAGTAAGTTCTAATCATTCATACTTATATATAAACCACACATGTGAACAGCAAATTCAGTTTCATTAAATAAAAACATTGACTATGAAATCCTCACTGCAGATAAACCAGGAAGGATGTGCTCACTTCTCTCTGCACCATAGACTGTTTTTAAAAATCTCTGCACACAACGTCCAGCACACAAACAATACAAAGTGACAGTATATTGTAGAACTGTTTGAGGAGGACTCACTAATGACAAGGAATAATTCTGAATTTGCTCCGGAGCTTTAACACAGCACAAGTTGAGAACAGGCACTGCATTAGAATGTAAAAATACTTGATTTTTAACTGAACTAAAATTAGTATTAAGACATTAGAGGATATCTGCTTTTACTAGTTTGCAGCCTGTCTCAGATATTAATGCAAGCAGAGATATATGCCTGGTCAGTAATAAAATCTGCTTACACAGATACTGATGGGTTACATTAAAAACCCTCTGATTAAAAGATTCCTCAACTGAAGATAGATTTTCCACCTGAAGCAATGCGGCTCATGGAAAGCCCCCAAAGAGACAGGTGCTTCTGAGGCAGCACTTTATCCCCCCCTCAGACGAGCCCACACATGACAGCTAGCCCTCACTGATGAATCTCAGTGTTTTATGGCGTGAAACCAACAAATCTGGCTCCCAGCTACTGTCCAATATTTAGCGTCAAAGCACCTCATCACTGACGATGTATTGCTGTTAAATCAGAGATGCTGTTTGCAGCACAATGAAGCATGAAACAATGGATGCGTCTTGTGGCTAACCCCGGCCTTGGGCTAGGACGACATGCCCGGCAGCGAGCACATGATGTATTCCACCGCTCGCGTTTTATGTCCGTTCCTAATTGAACCAGGATGGATCCTTTTACTGCTCGACTAGCTTGAGTTTAAAGCAGCAATTCTCAATTGTGGTGGCAGGAAACAATGTGTTGTCATCAGCAGTTAACAACTCCTGATCCTTATTTTCACTCGATTTAAACACTTCACACATTTTACTGTATTAATGAGCTGCTGTAGAAATATCTCGAAATATCCACAACAACAAATTGGTGGAAAATCTTGAGATTATAGTCGTGTGTGTTTGAACATCTTCCCAGCTTTTTGTATTACACTGATGACCGGTCAAGAAAGTATCCTGCCCAGTGCCTTCTGGGATATGCTTTAGCTCCATGCAACCCTGCACAGAACAAGCTGTGATAAGTTGTTAAGTAACTTTGTTAACTTATAAATATATGTGAATATAACGATTTTTTATCCATGTAAATGTTGAAACTTGTGATAAAAGAGGGAAAAAAAACAGGATAAGTCAAGACACAAGACATTTATACATCGTCTATCATCAACATTCCTGTTTAACTGAAACAAGTTTCATTCTTTTCATCAAAAGTCTTCTAAACCAGAATAACCTCACCACATTCTCTAGGACGATTGATGGTTTGGTGTGTGGCACTTAAAGCTGCACTGATTCCTTTTTTTAAACAATGGGTCAAATTGCCTGTATCCGTACTGTGAATGTTTAAGCGTCATTAAATGCATTGTTTTGGTTTTATCGCCCATGACTCCACTGTTTTCAACCACAATGTACAAAAGGGCAGACAGACAAACTCAGTGACTAGCTGGTGATTATAGACCAAAACAGAGTAAAAGGCGGGTAAATATTTATATATATATAAAATAACATTTTACCGGGTAGCCAACACAATATCAGCAACAACTTTAGATGGTGAAAATCTGTCAGTGTTGTATTTCAGTTTATTGAGCTGCACTAAAAGGGCTCCAATGAAAACATGTACCAATGCACCTTTAAAATGTGTTATATGCACTTGGTCTTGCATGCTAAAAAAACATTATCTCACACGTTATAGCTTGAAGGATTCTTGAATGATACATATGTTGTTAGTTTCATTTATGTGGTCACAAGCCTCTTTAAATCATTTGTTTGCATGTGTGTTGGATATGGAGCTGCCCAATGGAAGATGAGTCCAGTCGTGTACTAGTGGGGACAAAGTCTTGTACCTTTAAGCTGCTCTAACTAAAAATAAATCAAAGTAAAAAAAACTACAAATGCTGATTTAAATGACTCAGTCAGAAGCTTCCCCCTAAAATAGCCACTCACGTATCAGATTATAGGGGTCAGCATACAGCAGCCCATTTCTGATTGCTGTATGGATGATACAGACGGACAGCATTTACTTCATTGTGTCGTCTCTTTGAGTCAGATTAGATGTATTCTCTATATTGCCTTGAGCTTATCATGAACAAATCACAAGTCCAATGTAAGCCATCAGGCCTGTCAAATTTAATCTTCAAAAAAACCTTCCTAAATGTGTAGAGAATTAAGATAAAAATGAAATGAAAATGTGTAGGTCATTCTTGGTATCTGGACAGTTAAAATACAGTCTTGTCACTTTCTCTGACATGTTGACAACCAGTGTCTATTTATTAGTAGAAAGTAGTTTCTACACAGTATTTTGTTTTGTAAAACACTAGACATAGGTCCAGGAGGGTCATGGTTGGCAATGAAAATATTCCCAATAATAATAGGAAATAATAATAATAATAACAATGTCAATAATATACTTATTATTATCCTTATTAATAATAACAATAATAATAATCAAATAAATATTTTCATTCAATATCAGTCTCACATCTGCATTGTTGTGTTCATTGTCCATAATGTCAACCTATTGCAATTACTTTGAAAGCCCAGAAACACTTTGTCACTCTCCGAGTAGGAACAAGGCAATCATGAAATGCTCCGAGGAGCTGTGCAGTGTGTTTTGAAAGCTGTGATAGGAAGAAGTAGTATAAGAGGGATATTTGACACAGTCTTCATCTAAAGCAAATACAATGATACTATGACCAGTAAACAATCTCCTCACGAGCAACAAGTCTTAATGTAAATCAGGGATCTGTCTTTGATGTAACGTGAAATCAGTGCTCAATCATTCACAACCTCTATCGTCTCCTCTTCTGCAGAAACACCGGAGTGCTTTATATGCCGGGATGTTGAACTTCAAGCCAGTGACCCTTTGAGGAATTTCTGTGACTGCAAAAATCTACTTGCCCACCATGCCTGTCTGTCCACGTGGATCCAGAGGGTAAGAAGGACTCTCCATGTAGGAAACCTGGATATTTTTGAATATCTAGCTATTTTTATCTCATTCACAATTTGTCAATATGTATAGGGGTGGATTTCAAACAGTATGGCGAATAAATGTGTTTGTCATGTGATCATTCCGTATTTAGACAAAACACTGCTGTTTTCCTCGAGGTAATGAGCTACCTTTCAAGTAGCAATACCAATTAGTTTTAATGAGGGTTGCTAACAATGATAACACGTCATCGTTATACAGTTGAAGCACAAAGGCTGAAACAATGAGGAGTGCCTCGTAATGGACTGGCAGGAATCCAGAAAGCCATCATGCACCTGACACCTGTCACCCACTGCAAAACAGCTCATTAACATTTGTAGTGCTCCTCCAACCAGCAGTTGTACAGATGCGGCGGCCACTGCTGTTGTGCTGTTTTTACACCGCAACTCCAAAAACATCTCTAATACTGGTCTCTGAGTTCATGAAATGTGCATTTCTTTCTGTGCACTCATGCCCGATCACTATTTGTACTGCTTACCTTTCTGCCATTAATTCCCAGCAACTTCTGCAGCAAGACATTAATAATTACTTCTGTATACCAGAAAAATGACAAGAACTAAAACAAGCAAAAGCCAAAAGTAAGTGAAGAGGTGTGTAGGTGTGGAAATATAAATGAAGGCACAAAAGTTAAACCCCAGCTGAACTTGTTTTCTAAAAAATGTTTTCCTGGATAGATAATATATTAAAACACTGTTCATGCCTACATCATTAATCACTGTTCTGCTGAGTATTATAGAAACTGCCACAAATAATTGGCACCTTACTTTAAACAAATTTTAGCCTTGTTTACCTTTACAACTTTACTAGGCTGTGATAAACCCTGTTGAGCACAAAACACCAGGTCGGCAGCTTTACCAGACACTGTTGCTATACATTCCCCAGGAGTAGGTGGAGACCAAAGCAAAGCTAAAAGGAAAGTTATTGTATTGCCTAGATTTGTCAGACACATGACTGCAAATGAATGCAGATGTGGCTTCATGTCTGAAGCTTTTAATGTTCAATTGCTAATTCTAATCTCAAAATCCGGCTCAAGTCTGGACAAGGTAGGGAAGAGCAAGAAAAATAAATGTAATTTAAAGAAATGAAAAGAACATAAATAATAATAATAAAATGACAACCAAAGCTTAATGCTGTGGAAGCCATGGGAGAGAGAGGGGGACTGACTGGATGTCACCAGCTTATATATTGCAGCCAGACCAGGTGAGGTGAATCTCCCCGATGACCAAACTCTTCCCATCAGGGAAAGGCCTGCTCCAGGGTCATCAGACTAAACAGTAAGGCAGTTCGATGATATGGGTATTCTGGTTTTGGTCCACAAATGTATTAACTGGAAAGCCTGTGTTTTAAACTGAGGGCATGATTTAAAACATGGACACGGCAACAGACGGGGAGGACCTAACAAAGAGACAGTCAGGTTGCATTATGGTCAACAGGCTGTAGTTGGGAGCTTGAGACATTCTAGGACTTGGACGTGCAATATGTAACTTCACCCACTAGGCATCCCTTAATCAAAACTAAAACAAAACACTTTTTTGATGATGTTGTGAAGCAGCCATGGGATCATGGGAGTTCACCACCACATGAAAATCTATCGGACATGACTCCAGTTTAAATCATGTTCAAGGATGACGTAACTCATTATGAGTGAACAATTAAATAGTGCAAAGAAAAAGCAGCTGAGGGGCTAGTAGTGTTTTTTCCATTGTCGTACGCCCATATAGCACGGATTGACACAGCCACACCCAGATAGCATATGGATGTTGGCCACTTCAAGATGTGTTACTTCTGGCCTTCCTCTCGTCTGGACAAAAAGGACGTGAGCCTAAAGTTGCCAACTTTTAAATACTAATTTTTGAGACTTGGGACTAAACACGTCCAGCAGTTGAAATTGCTATTGGGTTTAAAAATGAAAATACTTTAAATTGTAGAAGTTATGAGGGATTAATAATAGAATGTACTCCACAAAATGATCCCCTTCAATTTAATTTAATATTTCTTATATCAAATCTATGACAGTCTCCCCACTACATCTAAAACAGCATGTCCACAGAGAAGCGGTCAATCATTCATGTGCAGTAGAATGGATACAAATCTTTTTTAATGATTAAAAAGAGCTTGTTTATTAAAAGGAAAAACTTAATATCATATCAGAGCAAAGTTATTTTTCAGTGACACATGCATATTTCATAAGGTTTCAAAGTTGTGTCCCAACTTTTTGTCAATACCGTCAGACATTTATTAAAATGTAATAAAATAAGACAATATTMGGGGCCGCAGTCACTCTATTTTATATATATATATACACTATATTTTATAGTTTTACAGTATTTTAAATCTTAGTGTTAATATCTCCTGTGTCACAACCATGATATGTCAACACCATCTTCCAATTCCTAAGGATATTGTTTAGATAATTTTCTTCTCTCCCCTCTTTTCCACCCATCTCCCCGCTTCTCCCCATTTTACTCTGCTCACCCCAACCGGTCGAGGCAGATGGCGCTATACAAATAAAATTGAATTCAATTGAATAGTTTCTGTATGTAGTTTTTGCATCTAGCATCATGCTGCTACATTACCTCCATTTGTTTTGTGAACAAAATGCCAATTATGTTAACACTGACAGATGTCAACTCCATCAGATTTTCTGTCAGATGGTGGTGACAGGCGAATTACAGAGTTGATATTCAATGGGTTTGAGTCATTTGAATCAAAAATAGAAATAGATTATTACTTTGTCTAATAATATATAAATACTACTGCTAAATCTGTGGCATCCGCAATTTCTGCTTTTTTATTGCTTTTGCGAATTGATAGTCATCAACTCTATCAGGGTTTAGTTGAGGGAACATATATATATATATATATATATATATATATTAATAGAAGTGAGTGTTCTTTTTGTGTGTTTTTGTCACCACTGTCAGATATGGGTCAACTCCGTTAGGCCTTTGTCACCACAAGTGGTAGACGACATGCCACAGCAGACCTTTCATCTGCACCACCCAGCTGTCAGAGTGAAGAGCCACTTCCATTAAATGTGTCTCCCAACATATTGGATAATGTGAATACAATACAATACAATAAAACAATACAATACATATTATATCTTTAATGTCACTTTTGGTCATCATTATTAAATATCTATCTTGTGAGTTGTGCTTTATGGAAGGGTTCTACCAAATTGCTTGAGTTTCACATTGACTAAAAGCCAAAGAGCAGATAAACTGAAAATGCATCTTGTACTTGACAATATCTGCACCTTTGATATTTTCAGAATTGTTGCTTTCAAGTGAGGCACACACAGTGCAACTGAAAATAACCGAGATCTCACTCTGTATCCGTATGTACAGCATCTGTGTGTTGCTGTACTGTGCTGTACATAATATGAGTGGGTTGGTTATTGTCACATGCAATTATAATCAAAGATAATGTGTCTGCTGTTGAAGCATTTGCTGTGGTGACGTCCACTCTGGTGAGCTTTGGGTCTCTTCGGATACTCCACAAGTGGTAGACAACATGCTACAGCAGACCTTTCATCTGCACCACCCAGCTGTCAGAGTGAAGAGCCACTTCCATTAAGTGTGTGTCTCCCCACTATACAATTATATACAGACACACACGCTCAGGCTTATGAAGCATACACACACACAAGCACACACACACACACACACACACAGTGAGCCGCGTTCTCTTGCTGTGAGTGTGTGCTGTTGCTACAAGACTACTTTAGTTTTTGTGTGTGAGAAACACAGACAGAGAGAAAGAGAGCAGGGGAGAGAGAGAGAGAGAGAGTGCGACCTTTCAGAGTGCTCAGGGTGGGGAGCCCCTTTCCCTTTTACGGAACAGAAATCAGCAATTGACCTGTCACTTTTGCTCTGATAGCCATCTCTGGAAAGCAGGTCATGCACATATGACTAAAGTGCCTCTTAACCGCATTTTATGAAGCCAGAAAATGTAATCCAATAATGATTTGACTTGCAAGAGGGAGGGAGGGAGGGAGGGAGGGAGGGAGAGCCAGCTGGGAGTGATAGCATGCACTGTTACCACTCCTAAAAGCAGCTCCTAAAAGCAGCTCGGAAAAAAAATGGGCAAATTCCAAGTCTTTATTTAATTTCAGCCACAACAGTACGACACAGATGTTGTCACTAAACAGCGGGCGGGCTGAACTCAAACACAGCAAAACAAGCACTGGTATTAATTTCTGTTGATACATACTTCAGCGTGTTCACAGCATAGGACTCTCTGACTGATCATCATCTGTGCTGAGGCAAACCATACGCAGTTTTTCGAACTGCCTCATTTGCCCCCCCCCCGCCCCACCCCACCCCTCCTATCCTTCCTCATTCAGGTTCCCAAAGACAAATAGCATGGCACAAAACTAATTAGTAACCAGGAACTAGTTAGGAGATGCCCTTTTGAAAAACATGTCCTGAGGCGAGATTTAAATATAGGGACAGAGTCAGTGACTGAGCGTGCCTAGGAGATCCCGGCCTCCAGGCGCGGCAGCACTATGACCCCTGACCCTCATTATAGGGAGTGCATTCCTAGAGGGGTGAAACCCCTCGCAGCACAGAGTACAAGGGCATGGGAGGACTGTATGGCTCGTACTGCACCAGCCCAGCGCAGCCTGGTGTGTCTCACTGCCCAACCCAACAACAGGCTTGAGAAAATGCAGAGCAAGGGTGCAGGCTTCTGGAAAATAATGGTATACGTTCAGTATCCCGGCAGATAAATACATTCTTCATTTTTATACATCTGGTTTCACTCTATTGAAGTTAATGGGAATGGTATTCTGCAAGAAAAAAATGCTCTAAAGGATTTGTATTCCCATCCATCTGAAATAGAATATAGTCGTTAGAGGGGTGAAAAAGAAGTGAGAAGAGGAGCAGTGAGAATGCTAACAACTTGCTGGCTAAACATAGCATTGATTCAGTAGAGAGTGAGGCACTGACCAAGGTGTGAAGAGATGAAAAACATAATGAGAGGATGAGTTTACACGCTGACGTGTGTTAGATATGTTGTTTCCTATGTGATAAAGTGTGTGTGTGCGTGCTGGAGTGTGTGCTTATCTATGAACAAGCATGCCCTTGACTATGTCCACGCCTGCGTTTCCCTTTAATTACATGCGCACACACACACACCCACACACACACTCACTGTCTCTCTCTCATGAGTTGTTGTTGCAAACAGACTTGGTTTACATTCATTAGTTCAACACTCACAGCAATCAGGCCACAGTGCCAGGGGCAATGGTCCTCTATAAAATCACATTGCCTAATAGCAGTGTTCTATAATTATATACCATTAACATCTATCAAAATGTGCTCCTACATGCCTCGCATATTAGCAGCGGATCTGGCACTTAGTGTTTGTACAAATGCAGCTCTTGTTATTAGCATCTTCAGTTCGTTAGCAGCAGCTTGAAGATTATTGCCAGCGTGTTATTTTAGTTTCTCTGTGATGTGAAGTGGAACATTTAGTGTATGCATTAAAATAACGTTTAGCAATGTATGTTTAACTATTTATTACTATACAGTACTCTACACTGTGAAATGGCCTTGTGTTTTCTATTCTGTTGCGATCTGTTTTGTTGTGATCTGTTTTCTTCCTGTTGTTTTTGCTGTTTGGTTGTTATGTGTTCTGAAATCTTGAGCCCTTTGTTTTTTTTCTACATATTGTTTGTCCAATGTGTAGGAGCAGCATGTTTATTCAGGTTTCTAGCGCTGTCATTGAATAAACATCATTATGCACAATGTTTCTTTGTGTTAAAAATGAAATGATGATTTCCAAACATAATTAGTTTATTGATCAAAACAGAAAGAAAAATGTTGTCATTGTGCACTAAGTGCAGCTTTAGATGAGTTTTTTTGACGGTTCACTTTCACTAAATTACTTTAAAATATTGTTTCCTTACAGGGATATGGGAATGAAGACAGACTGCGATGTATCATCTGCAAGGCCAAGGTACGTGTAATCGTGTATGTGTGTGTGTGAGAGTGTGTTGTAAAAAGCATTGTAAAAATACGAGGATAAATCTATGATGTCTCAATCTTTTAATCTTCCTGTGTGAAATGTAGGTAGTGAGCATTTAAACAAACACCATTTAAGTCATTAAACAATGGCTGCATCTCACAAATCAGATTTAAACAGAGCAGATCCATAATACTAATGAGCAATCAGGTCTTTGTTTTGCTCTGTGATTTAGCTGATTTACCAGCAGTTGTGTTGCTTATGAGCTGTAAGCTGTCTTTTATTCCTTATTATTGCAGCAGAACACTCGCTGTGGATAAGCAGCGAGAAACATTACAATATTTGGCAAAGGATACAAGCCATGTAATGACAAAATCTGTATTCATTTCATGAGCACAAATTAATCATGCTTTCCTTTGGTACATTCCTAATGCAAATTTTCCATCAACACATTTTGTCTTGTATTTGTGGGTGTATTTGTATGAAATGGTGGAGCCGATGTGTCATCACAGATGGAGTTGCATGCTGGATAAGGTGGTCACATTACTAACCATCTCAGATTAGGAAGTGTGCTGTTGATGTGTTGTATGTATTCATGCTTGGACTGCGGGTCAAAGCATCACAAGCTGTCCACCGAGTGTTTTATTCATTGTTGGCTCTACAGCGATGGGTTGAAAATGTGATTTGCTGTCTGTTCTTGTGTATATGTATGGGAGAGATACACTCCGTGGAAGAAAATGTCACAGTAACTTTGACAACAACCTTTCAGGATTTTGAGATATTTTAAACATGAAGCTGTGTTCACACATCTAGCGTTTCACACACTGATCAAAGTTCAATGAATCATTTAGTCCGTGGGAAATGTCAGATTGCTTTTATTCATCGTCTCTATGGTTTGTCTCCATGAAGGGTCAAAGAACAATTGGTCCTTAGATATGATGTTGTTTTCTTTTACACAAGACAGTGTGTCATTATTACACACAGCTGGAGTTTGTTTCCAACAGGGAGGTGATGGTGATGTTGTTTTTATAGTCTCAGTATGATAAATATAAACTATAATGATTCCACAGGTATGTGCATAATGGATAAAAACATTTTTGGCACATCCTTGTAGAAGCAACATTTAAGATTAAATGTTGGATTGGGTATTTTCTTGTGGCTGACTGGTATTTGAGAGCCAGGGTAGCTAAGAGACTTGCTTTGGTGGTGTGAACAAAATCACACATCCTATAACAGCTGATGTGGATCCACATAGAATTGGGTCATGTATTTGAGGGAGACCCATCATGCTGTTTACTCTGTATTTCACTTGGCTTGGACTTTGGAATATAGATCCCAAAATGAAGCCAAACTTTCTTGGTTGCCCTCTGGTGGCTGGCCGCAGTATAGTTCAAAACACTGCCTCTTCCCTGTTAGTGGATGGGACATGGGCTAGACGAAAAAGTCAAAGTACAGGTTAAATAAATCCTTCTCAGAGCTTGTGTGTTGGCAGGCCCCAAATACTACTTCTTCCTGTGATCCGGCCCCAAATGGTATTAAAAGAGCAAGATGGTGGCAGCTGTATCCCAAATATTTTTGTTTACTTTTTATACAATGTGGAGAAGTAGAGCTGTGGCATCCATCTTTATTTACAGTCTACGCTTTAAACTAGCTCTCATTTGTAAGAATGCTCAGCTAGTTAGCCTCCTATTGGAACAAGCTTTTGGAAAATTATATTCAATTCATATGTGTGTCAGAATCAATGACTCTATATGAGAAATGATGCCAAATATCTGGATTACAAACACTGCCATCTTGTGCATTTGGAGCCTCTGCAGTTGCGATCAGGGTTAGAGCCATGATGTAGAGGTACCATTGATTTTTGCGTTGGACTCAGCCTTAGCTCTCAATCATAATGTTTCACCCCATTTTTGTAACATCAAATAACTATTTAAAACCAAACTTACCTTAATAACCATCTTAAGGAAAATTTGTATTTTATATGTATTATGACTTTTTAGTTTGGTATTTGTCCCATCCACTAACACGGAGGAGCAATCGAAAACTTATTTATCAACAGTAACCCTGGTAAAAATATTCTGGTATAATAAAAAATGGTATAATATACTCATTTTGAGCAGACATTGGGTTTTGTTTATGTTATTGTAACCCCTGCTGAGTCATTGGCATTCTTTCAGTGCTATATTCCTCACACATTATATACAGGAAGTGTGACTCAAATAAGGGTCCAGATGGTCATGATTAATGACCAGACTGTCAAAACTCACAGCAACATAATTTCAATAATTTCAGGTTTCAAATCACAACATGAAGAAAGGCAATGAGTTCCTGTTTGTAAGTGAGATTTAAGGTAATTACAATTTTGATCCAAGTAGACACCAACTCTGTGGATATACTAATATTTTGCTTTTTTAATCAAAAAATAATTTTAATTTAAGATCCACACTAAGCCCAAAACATTCCGCACTACCATACTGAATCAAACTTTTCTGACTCTGTGCTGCAGATTGTCTGTACAAAATGGTGTCATGATATATCAAGAGAGATTGTGGAAACACTACTCGAAGCTGTCATGCTAACCTGAACACTGTCCCCTGACCATATTAATGCGAGTCAGTGTTGTTTAAATTGAAGCCATTTTCAGTTTCGCTGCCAGTATTTGGCTGCAGGCAAACACATTTTTAGGTGTTACAACCAACTCTGCTCGTCTTTTACCTACAAGGGGACATTTCTCACACTTTTGCAGCATCTCCAAGTGACTGTTGCACTTGTCTTCGTCCATTATAACAATGACATCGTCATCAATTATTAATGGCGAGCAGTGAATGTCTGAGAGACATCCCACTGAGAAACCAAACAGCCATGAACAGGGGTTAGTGGCAGGACTGGTGATCTCTGCAAGTGGCAGCTGTGCCGTTTAGAGAAGGATTGTTGGGAAGCTTCTACTGTATATTGATATGAAGTCTGCTACAGTAAGTTAATGCATCAGTATAATAACATTTTAATGTCTGCAGTGGCACAGTCATTTAATATTTGTCCACAGAGAAATGTATATGTAGATCAGCAATGACTGTAATGATGATAGTGATAATCATTTGGTCCTGCGCCGCTATCACTCTGTAATGCATTACTGCAATCACCCTTGGTTAACATTAAGAGGCTTTAGCCATTAAGACTTTGAGCAAGCAGTGCTCATCATACAGAGTCTGGTTCAGTGTTCCATCCATTTCATTTTCTACCTTCTTTTGTGCTGTTGATGATGTTGATGAGGCTTTTTCCTGCATGCTGTTTTCCCTTTTTGCAACAGGGTCTCAAATGTGGGCCGTTTGTATGAGTTATGCTAATTTGTTGGGGCAATGAATGCATTAATTTCATTAGCACATGGCCTCAAAGCAATAATTACCAGAGTAGGTGTGTCACAAGCAATCATGTTAAAATTTGCCAGTTAATTATTAAGATTTTGTTCTGAGGGACCTGGATTTGACATGAGTCGCCGAGGGGGGGAAATAGAGAGAGAGGAGAAAGTTAATGCATTCCAGTGGCCGGGGCTAGGTGCTTGTTGTTGAACTCAGTGGGGGTGGCCATGGCATTGTGGGCCTACTGGCACGATTTTTGCATGTTGACAGCTCACATTCTGGACTAATTACTGCAAATAGCAAAGGGCTAGCTGGTGCTCGGTCAATCCAGGAGGGTGTAATTATAAAGAAAAGGAGGTCCAGAGCTGCCTAATGGCCTCTGCTCCCTTTGATTGGAGTCCGGTGGAGAAGGGCTTGGTTAGTAGTTGTGAAGGAGGAAGAGATTTACAGCTCCCTTCCTCGGCCCTGATTAGCCCTTGTCCGACACAGTGCTGGGGTCAGGAGGACAGACTATGCGTCTAATGATACACGCTTAATAAAAAATAGTATAGTGATTCTTAGCAGTAGTGGTTTCTTACCTGATTACTACAGGTGCCATATTGGCATAATAAAGAACCGCTTTGAAAAAGATGGGTCGTATTTTTTGCCCTTTCAATTCTTTGCAGCCTCACCTCTAAAATATTGAATTTAATTTAAAATGTCCTTAGAGGACACAAGACTTTATAACATGTGAAAAAATATTTAGCAAATCAGAGTTTTTGTTTAATTGGTGAGACTACAAACAATTTTAGCAAAGTAACACAAGAAATTGACAAGTTCTGCTAAAATAAATCTGTGGTTGAGGCTCACATTATCTTGTGATTGTGTTGGTTATGAAATAAATCATATTGCCAGTTATTTTAATCCATTGCATGGCAAAAGGAGATCACTCTAATCTTATTTATTCATGTGTTTCTGAAAATTTGCCTCAAAATTTCAACATGTCGCAGGCCTGGTTTTCAACAGACTGAAAATGATCTTGAAAAATATATTGTATCATATTTGTCTCTTACAGTTGAGTCAGTGTAGTATTGTTGTTGTTTAAAAGCAAAGTGCAACTCAGCTTCACTGTACCACATGTGAGGATGTGGCAAATAATGCATCAGATTAAAAAACGAATAGTTTACAATGTTTATGCATTATTTTTTCTCATGTTTAGTTTACAACCACAAAACTGATAGTTAACGTTTTTACACACAGATGTACTCTACTGTATGTCAACTCATACAATGAAAATAAAATGCATTTTGAGATACTCCACTGCAAGAAAATCTAATGAAATGGTTTCTACTCTACGTTCATGCAACTTAAAATCTCCTGACACCCTCTCCAAACCTTCTCCACCCCATGTCTCTCAAGTGTCTCCTTAAAGGTGGTAGCATTTACACTCCCATCCCCCTTCCGGAAAAAAATGTTAATCATCACTTGATTTTATATGGAAAGCAGATTATCCGTTGATTTTGATGAATACAGCAGCTGCCAGACTCTTCATTTGACTAAAAGCAGGACATTCTGCCGAGCCTCTCATATGTCACTAAGCCTCTGTGAGGACAGTGCTGTGACAGGAGATGACACATGAAAGGAATTCCTCCTCATGGC